TAATTTTAGTTGGTACCTTTTAGCACTCGTTGTTTATACTTCGTTTGAACTTAGCTTGTGCTCCCCCAAGGTTTTTTTTTTTTTTTTTTTTTTTTTTTTTTTTTTTTTTTTTTTTTTTTTTTTTTTTTTTTTTTTTTTGGTCTTACATGGAATCTACATGAGTAGGTGAGTGGGAAGAGATAATTGTTACTGCGAGAACCGTTTGGGCTCGGCTGGTGATGCCGTGCTCGATGGAGCGGTCCGCCCACTTTTTGGAAGGGACGCCGGGCCCGGGACCAAGTCCCACTTGCAGCGGTTTAGTCCTCAGTTCGGGACCCTGTGGTTTGTGCGACACGTTTCCTGACCGCCGATTGACATTGATCGTAGGGCGCATGGTCGGTTATGTTGTTCTTCGAACGGAATGGATTGAATGTCGCTATGTAGCGGTTTCCCATTGGCTGTTATGAGCTCTTTCACTCGCAGGGAATGGTCCTCGTCCGTAGCCTGACCCCAGTCGGGCTAGACGTGGGGACCGTCCATCGTCTTGTATTTCCACAGAAACTAAAAGTTTTTCCCGACAATGCCGCTGCCATACCCTTGGTTACCAGACTGACCTGCCTTTCATCATTACTGTCATTCAGCACGTTCAAATCCTGTTATTTTTCGCGATTTAACCCGTCGTTTGTCAACCAGCCGCACATTGCCACACGAAGTCACACAGTGTCGTGCAGTACTGGCTACGGGAACTAAACCGCTGCGAGTGGGACTTGGTCCCCGGTTCCCGGCTTGTATAATACAAAAACAGAAACTGTGTTTTTTTTTTCTAAAAAAAAAAAAAAAGACGGAAATGTGGGCAATAGCAAAGAGGACGTGGATTAAGACATGCATCCGGACGTAATCGAAGCAGAGATGCAGTAAAGCAGATAAATCGCATTTTTCTGCACCTGTCCTAAAACACGTCTACATTCGGGCATTCAGTCGCTTGCTACGTAGTGGGACCTCGCCCAAGCTCACCATCTGCTAGGTTTGGTAACTGGGGGCCTCGCTCCACAACTCTCGGAGAATCTGCAAAACGAGAGTGAATCTTCTGCTAGAACATGGAAAGAGACATGGCCATGATTTTTGTCGTTTGTGCATGTCGAGAGAAGTGGAGCGAGGAACGATACAGAGAAGATTAGCATAGCCCCTGCGCCTTCAAGGATGACACGCATAAATCGAGAAATGGTGCATATTTAAAAAAAAAAAAAAAAAAAGAGAAGTGGAGCGAGGCCCTTGCTCCCGTTCCTTGTGTTCTTTT